AACAAATAGACACTACCCTGGAAGTTCTTACCAAGTTGTACCAAAAAATCTGGAGGACAACTACCTAGCCAACTGACTGGAAAAATCCATATTTGTTTTTCATTACAAAAACGAGTGTTCTGAAAAAAGTGTGTAAATTATCAAACTATATTGTACACATGCAATATCTTGCTGAGGATTATGAAGAAGGAAAAAAAAATGACTGGAATAGCACATCAGCAAAGAAACAGGATCCATTGCTCACACCATACACAAAAATCAACTCAAGGTTGATCAGATACTTGATAGTAAAGCCCCAAGCCATAAAGTTCCTAAGAGACAAACTGCTTAGAAAGCCTAGTGTATGGTATAAAGAGACTGACAAATACAGCCAGAAATGCACAATCAGAAGAGGATAAAATTGATGAATGGGACCTTTTAGAGATTAAATCCCTGTGTTCATCAAAAACTTTTTCCAACATGGTGAAAAGAAAACCTACTGATTGGGAACAAACATTTGGCAATTCTATCTCAGACAAGATTCTCATAACGAAAATTTATGGAATACTCCTGGACCTCCACAAGAAAAAGACTGATAACCCAAGTACAAAATGGGCAAAAGATGTGGAAAGAATTTTCGTGAAGGAAGATATTCAAATGGCCAACAGACATATGAAAATTCTCCAAATCACTGGAAACCAAAACCACAATGAGATATCATCACACTCCAGTAGCAGTGGCAAAATTTAACAGGACAGAAAGTGAAAAATGGTGGAGAGGATATGGCGGGATAGGAATTTTTATACATTGTTGGTGGGATTGTACAATGTTACAACCACACTGGAAGGCAGTTTGACCCTTCCTCAAAAAAGCTGTACACAGAAATTCCATATGATCCAGCTATTCCATTGCTTGGAATATACCCCAAGAAAATTAAAACTGAGGTTCAAACAGAAACTTGTACACCAATGTTAATAGAAGAATTATTCACCATCACAAGAAGATGGAAATAACCCAGATGTCCAACCACAAACAAATGGATTGAGAAGTTGAAGTACATTCATACATTGGAATACTATGCAGCATGCAGGAGCAATGATTTCATAAATTAGTACCTAACTTGGGAGAAACTGGAGAGCATTATGCTGAGTGAACTAACTCATTCCCACAAGGACAAATACTGTATAAAACCATTACTGTAGAATGAGTATGAGAATCCAAGGAATGGGTATGGTGGAGGCAGAGGGAGAGGATAGGTGGGAGAAAGGGAGATAGGGTGTTAATCATAGGGTTGCACAATTCGATGAGTGGGGAGAATGAAGAGAATGGAAAGAATATCTTTTGTGGAAAAGTATGTATTAAAACTTTGTAAATAAATCAGTATAAAATAAAACAAACAAAATCAGTACAATAGCAGAGAACTATCAGAAATACAGGATGGGCTTAGAAAAGACCCTGGTACCAGAGACATTATTGCCAACGTCAGATGGATGTTGGCTGAAAGCAAAGAGTATCATAGGAATGTCTATCTGTGTTTCATTGACTGCAAAAACATTTGAATGTGTGGATTACAACAAACTGTGGCTACGTTTTAGAAGAATGGGCATTCCAGAACACTTGATTTTGTTTATGTGAAACCTGTACTTGGAGCAGGATGTAGTGGTCAGAACAGAACAAGGAAACTCTGGATGGTTCAAAATCATTGTCAGGGATGCAACCTGTCTCCATACCTTTTCAATTTATATGTGGAACTGATCATTTGGCATCAGGATTGGAGGAAGACTCGTCAAAAACCTGTATTATTGACACAATCTTGCTTACAGAAACTGAGGAATACCTGATGTGTTTGCTGTAGAAAATCAAGGACTGCATTCTTCTGTATGGATTAAAGCTCAATATTAAGAAGACAGAGATTCTCACCACTGGGCCAATTGTCAGCACCATGATAGAGAAGACATTGAAGTTGTTATCAATTTCAGCTTGCTCATCTCCATCATCAACACTCTTGGCACAAGCGATCAAAAAAATCAAAAGATTAATTGCTCTAGGGAAAGCTACTGTCAGGAATCTCTCAAAAGTGATGAAGAGCAACAATGTCAGTCTGGAGACTAAGATGCACCTGATTCAGGCCATTGAACTGCACAATAACTTGCTACACATCAGAGAGCTGGAAAATGACCAAAGATGACAGAAGAAGGATGCCTTTGAGTTTTGGTGTTGGAGAAGAATATTTTTAGAGCTCATTCATACTTTGAGATTTATTGAAAACCCCTGGATTATCTCCAAAATCAGTCAGAATAGCACCTGTTACTCTCAATATCCAGGGCCTTTTATTTCTCATTCTGGTTTTGATTTGTATCTCTCTTATTTCCAGTGATTTGGAGCATTTCCTCATGTCTGTTGGCCATTTGAATATCTTCCTCTGTGAAAATTCTTTATGTGTCTTTTGCCCATTTTGTAATTGGGTTATTGGTCTTTTTCTTCTGAAGGTCCTGTAGGATTGTGTAAACTTTTGCTATGAGACCATCGTTTGAGATGGTATTGCCAAATGTTTGCTCCCAGTCAGTAGATTTTCTTTTCACCCTGTTGGAAAAAGTTTTTGATGAGCACAGAGATTTAATCTTTAGAAGGTCTCATTCATCAATTTTATCCTCTTCAGATTGTGTATTTCTGGCTGTATGTCACAGTCCTTTTATACCATAGACTAGGCCTTCAAAGATTGGTGTCAATTGCCTCTTATGAGCTTTATGATTATGAGCTTTATTCTGAGGTCTCTGATCCACAAGAAGCTAAAACTTTTCATTCAGACTAAACATCCAGTGATGGGCTTTGTCCTCATCTCTATCTTCCTGGCCACTGTTGCAGGTAAAGAACTCCTTCAGAACTTCCAAGGAGTCCTTCTTGTTCTCATGTATGTATTTATTTGGTCATAGATATTTCCCCCCTGTGCTCTCTATTGAGACTAACAGAAGGATCTAGATGATAGCCACACTTTCTATACTAATTATTGCTATTGCCATTTAACCTTACATTGTCTTGCTCTCCATCAGCACTTCATCTCATGATACAATCGATATATATGAGGATGTTACTCATATTCAGGGGTCACCTTAAGAGAAGCTGAGTCCTATGGTTGAGAGGATAGCCATGCAGAGATTATTTCCTATGATGGAAGTCAGAAGAATCTCTGTCCTTCAGCCCTCCTACCAGAACATCCTGTCAGGCCCTTGTAGCAGGACCCATTGGAAAACAAGGATCAGAAAGGCCTTTGATATAGGCTGTGCACAGTGAACCTCCTAAGGGCAGAGAACAAAGGATAAAATGGTGAATATAAGGACACTCCAATTATATGAAGAATTTCAAGGATGTTTTGTAAGTCGAGAAGGAAACTATTACAAAGCAACAAAGAGAATTTCCCAGACCAGAGCTATGAATCTTATTGCTTCTTGAAAAGAAATGGTTTGTAGTTGTTGCTGTTGTTGTTGTTGTTGTTGTTGTTGTTGTGTGCTATCCAGTTGTAACTGACTCATAGCTGACCCTCCAGCAGGTTTTTTATAGGCTGCAATCACTCAGGAGGAGACCAGAATCTTTCTGCCGTGGAATAGCTGATGAATTGAACTGCCCACCCTTGGTTTAGCAGCACAACTTCCTGCCTACTAGTCTAGCAGAGCTTTCTGTTTTGTGTACTTCTCCAGGGGAAAAGCGAATTTTAAAAATGTCATAACCATCTTAGATTTCTGTTAAGTAGTTCACCAAAACTGCAGTGCTTATTCTTAGCTGTTCCTCAACAACACATAGTTGTTAGGTGGCATCGAGTCGAGTACAACTCATAGCAACTCATAGAACAAAAGATCTGAGCCTCGTCCTGTCCATCCTCACACTTCCTGACACACTATGGCAATTACCATGTCAGTTCTCTTTGCCAAGGATCTTCCTCTCCTTTGCTGACCCTTCATCCTTCCAAGCATCTGATCCCTTTCCAAGGACTAGCCCCTCCTAGCAATATGCCTGAAGCATGAGAGGTGAAGTCTCATCATCCTTGCCTCCAAAGAGCACTCTGGCTGCAACCTCTCCAAGACATTCTTTTGGCTGTTCATGGGATGCTCAGTGCTCTTCTCCAACACCAGAGCTCAAAAGCATCAATTCTTCTTTTGTCATCCATATTCATTGTCCAGCTCTCAGCTACATAGCAAGTGGTCAGACACCATTTATCTGATTCAGACACACCTTAGTCCTCAAACAGATATTACTTCCCAGTAATTTGAATAGAGCCCTAACTGCAGACTTTCACAGTGCAGTGTCTCTTTATTTCCTCATTGTTGTACCAAGCCTTAATTGTGGTTCCAAGTAAGATATCATTGCTGATGTCAGATGAATCCTGGTTAAAAGTAAAGAATAGCAGAAAAATGCCTATCCAAGCTTTATTGACTGTGCAAAAGTCATAGCAAGTTGTGGGTGACATTGAAAAGAATGGTAGTCCCAGAGCACTTAATTGTGTTCATGCAAAACCTATACCTGGAAGGAGGCTCTTGTGCGAACAAAGCAAGGGAACAATGCATGGTTTCAAATTAAGAAGGAAGAGTTTCTGGGTTGTATTCTCCCTCCATACCTATTATATCTGTATAGTGAGCAAATTATTTGAGAAGCTGGACTCTATGAAGAAGAATGTGGCATCAGGAACAGAGGGAGACGCATCAGTGACCTGCATTATGCAGATGACACAACACATACTTGGGCTTGTTTTAATTCATCACATTTATTAAATAATTTTGTTAACTAATCTACATTACATTTAACAATTTGATATAAAAATAAATAGTTTGGATAAAATAATTTAAAGTAAAACTATTTTAGAGCCCTTAGGGCTTACAGAAAGAATCTTAAAAGATCCGTATTCATCATCTGAAGACTAAGAATAATAGTTACAAAAGACATAGCAAACCACGCATCCAAAAATAAATTATAAAATTTAAATATTTAAATAAATAGAAAGCCAGATACATTTTAACTGAGAGACACTATTAAGCCAGTGTTGAGATCATGCGTTGACAAAACTCAATCCAGTTGATCAGGAACCTGTCAACTGTTTCTGTGTTATCATCATCACACTGGAATGCTGTTTCCGATCCCTATAAATGAAAGAAATGAGAGGGTGGACATCTTTTCTCTAGTTCATGTAGTTTATATAGAAGTATTCTCAATTAAATCCATATTTTGACGCATGTAGACCATTCACATTTTCTTGAAATGATGGACAAAATTAGATGTTATGATCTTAAGTTATCATAACATACAATCTAAGATTTTCTACATTTGTTAATTCTTCTGATCTCAGCGAACACAAGGGTTTGTTTTTTTCTGAATTGTCTGCAAGTGAACATTTTAAGTTAAAACAGTTTTAGATAAATATTTTCTTAAATACTATGTGAAAAATAAAGCTATTTGACCTCTTCTATGTATCTATCTAGGTAGATCTATGTAGATATGCATGCATGTACGTATGTATGCATTTTTATCAATATAGGTTGTAAGTTTGCACTGAAATTTATGTCTATTTCCTCTTTTCTAAACAATGAGTCTTATGTATTATACATTAGTTAATCTTTTGATAATTTCCCTAAATAGGATAGTACTTCCCAAGCGTAAATAAGGACAAGCTTCTGTTTGGGGAAAGTCTTCTGTAAAGAGCATTTTCATGACCATTCATTGCAACCTACATCCTATTTCTGTGTCACTACCAGTGTATTTCCCAGTTTCTACAAGTCTGAACATTATAAAGTTTATTCTAAAGAAAAAAGAATTTATTCTTCTAATATTAATATTGGGAAATTAAACTCTGTGTTGAAAAGAGCTATTTCAACTCTTCTTGGAGCTGACACATTTATTTTTCTGTATAGTGAGCTATAAAAAAAGGACTTTTAAAAAGAAATCCTAACTCAGGAACACAAAATACACATCATAGGGTAACGTTAAATAGATGGTTTTAATGTCATGTACTCTCTTATACATTATTATTATTTAAAGATTCTCATCTCTAGGAGTTTTTTTTTTTTAAGCTTGACTTTTTTACAAAGCATTTTTCTGATTTTCACAAACCCATCTTAAGATTTTGAGTGGGTTTCTAATGTTGACCTAGAATTACAGAGTAGATATATTGACATAGTTGTCAATTGATCTCAATGGCTAAAGAGGTTATTAAATGGAAAGAAACATTACCGTGAAATATCAGCTCTTAATTTGGAAACAGGTAAGAAACTTAGTTAGGCTGTTATTGTGTACCATCTAGTCAGAACCAACCCATAGCTGACCTTCCAGAGTGTTTAGAGGCAGTTAATTGCATAGGAGGAGATTGCCCATCCTTCTCCTGCTAGTTAATTTAATAATATTAAGTAATATTAATACTAATTTAATATAATTAAAATTATTAATTAATATTAATTTGATATAATTAAAATTATGCTGCTTATTTAAAATAGTTATTAATGCATGGATTTTGTTAATAGAACAGTGAGATGAGAAAAGAACCAGGAATCTCATTCAAATTGCTTCAGTCTGCTATTCATTTGCTTCAATACCAAAGGCACGGCACCAGGTGCTCTGCAAGGCAAGGATAGGCAATCACCTCCTGTGTGATTCTCTGCCCCTGAAAACCTGCTGGAGAGTCAGCTGGGTCGGTCCAGACTCCATGACACACAACAACAACAACGCCCTGAAAAGGTAGAGTTGCCTCTAAAGAGCATTATTTATCTAGTTTATTGTCATTTTAATTACTGCCATTCTTTGAAACCAAACACTTAGTACTGCTTCCACCAAATGATAGGGAAATGTTATTTTAAAGATTTTTAATATTGGCTATTCTGGTAAGTGTATTGAAGGAATTGAAAAATTGATAAAATCTGTCAGCCTTTTGTGAAATTTAATTTGGTTATTTCTCCCACTCCCAGTTGTGCCTTAATCTGAGTGATTGAATGTGGCTGAGGAGAAGCAGAGGTGGGCTGAGGCCTGTCCTTGAGTGGAAGGTAGGAGTTAGCAAGACAGGAGTTGAGCTTTTTCTTTGAGTGGAAGATAGGAAAAGGCCTTTTAACTCAAACTTTCCAGCTCTATGTGTATCAACTAACATTCAAAATACTTCCTGCTCACAGTGAACTTAAGATGTTGATCAATCAAATCTCATCAGTACTTCACAAAATACCATAATGTTACCACATACAGTGTTTTATTTATTTGATTTCCAGGAAAGCAAATAAAGTAATACTCACCTTTAGCTCCAGAGCAGTTACATTGATATTGCTGATTAATTCTCTGTTTTTTTCTTTGTCTAGAGCTACGTTTAGAATACGCTCCAAAGATGTAAGTTCTTCTACTAGGCATTGAAGATGTTTCTTTTCTGTAATCTAGAGGGAGATTTAAAAAAAAAAAAATACTCGCCATTTTATTTTTGCCTTAAAATAATGGTCAGAATAAGAAATCAATTTAAAAAAAAAAAAATACTCGCCATTTTATTTTTGCCTTAAAATAATGGTCAGAATAAGAAATCAATTTCAATTTATCTAATTACGAGTGGCAGTATTTTGTTTTCACCTCATTCTCCTTGTTTCAGCATTGTTATAAAGATGAACCAAAATGGTAAGTACTGGAAAACTCAACTAATCATGACAAGCATTAACTGCTGGTTAATAACTCATGTCATTAATTTCAGCTTCATGAATTTGACTTTGAAAAAAATTAGTGTGCAAATTGCAGGTATAAGCTGATTGCTCCTCCAGTCTGCGTGGCAGTCGTTGGAATCTGAGAAGTCAGCGTGTTCTGAAAGTTGGGTGGGGGGGGCTCTGGTGGCGTTGTTTACAGGGAGGTGGGCTGCTAAGCCAAAGATCATGCCTCCATCCTGGTTTAAATCCACCTGCACCCTCCGCCCAGGCTATCTTACAGCCTCGAAAACCCAGTGGTCTGCTCTGACTCAGTTCTGACTCCGTGGCAATGAAGTGAGAATTACAGGACAGACCCTGATGACAGAAGAGCTCTTGGATGCCATCTGTCACAGCCCCAAGATTTGACAGATAAGGTCATCATAATGTTAATGAGTAGCCTGAAGCAAGTCATATATAGTTTAAGCTTTTGTGCAAATCTTTACTTTTCTGCAATTACTAAGATACATTAGTTGCCCAAACTAAACAAAATGTTACAATATTTTAAGTTTTGTGGGGGACAGGGTGTTTGGTTTTTTTATCAGTACCAAAACCACATTGCTACCACATTGCTGTCGAATTGAACTGCCCCATAACCTCTCCAAGCCTGGGAATCTGTACAGAAGCAGACAGCAACTTCTATCTCCCCAAGTAGGCAGGTGTTGGATTCAAACTGACCACCTTTTATTTAGAAGCCATGTGCTTAATCACTGCACCACCAGGGATCTTTTAAAGGGTGGGTTGTTTTTTTTTTCTAATTGCTGTTGTTTTGCTACCATTGAGTGGGAACCTAACCTACTCCTAACTGACCCTCAGCAGGTTTTCAAGAGGCAGGAAATCTAATGGGAGAAGAGTGCTCATTCTTCTCCCACAAAGTAGCTGGTGGATTAGAAGAGGTCTCCTAATTAGACACTGCAGGTATATGGTACAGTAAAATGCTGGGCTACTGGTTGAAAGACTGGTCGTTTAAAACCATTCAAAGGCTCCTTAAAAGATAGGGCTAAGTAATCTGCTTTTCAAGATCAAAGTTTGGAAAACCCTAGGGAGTTCTACTCTGAACGCATAGGGATATCATGAGCCCAACAGGTGTGACAGCAACTAATACACAAATACCTATACACACACACATATATGTGTGGCCTGGTAGTACAGTCCATAGGGAGGTATACTGATGACCAGAAGACAGTGCCTAACTGGTACTTTGAAAGTAGTGGGAGAAAGATAGGCAATATCTTCCCTGAAGGGGAGCGAGCGAGCGAGAGAAAGTGACTCTGTGTGTGTGTGTGTGTGTGTGTGTGTGTGTGTGTGTGTGTGTGTGTATAATAAGGAGTTGCATTGCCAGCCCAAAGGCAGGTGGTTTGAATATAGCTTCTCTTTGAGAGAAAAATAGGCACGCTCCTCCTGTGTGATTTACAGCCTCTGAAAATCACTGGATGGTCAGCTATGGCTTAGTTTCAACTTGACAATGAGATATGTATTATATATGAATAGAAAGAGAGAGAGAATGGCCTGATGGCTCTATGTCCAAAGTATTTGTCTGTTAACACAAAGGTCAGCAGTTCAAACCCACCAGCAACTCCGTAAGACATACCTAGGTTCATACTCTTGGAAAGTCTATGGAGCAGCCCTCCTCTACTCCATAGGGTTGATGTGAGTTGGACTCAACCCGGTGATAATATTTTATACTTGAGTTTTAAACTTCTTTCTCTTTAATAAGCTCATTTAAGCCTCATGATTACCCTTTCTGGTAGGTGCTACAACATAGCTACAACTATTTTACATATGAGGAAATGAAATCTCAGAATTTAGGTGTCTTTCTCCAGGCTATATTAGTCATAGAAACGTTCCTGGTAGTTGTGCTGGAATGAAATTTCCTTTACTGAATTAGCATAGCATCCAAAGCATAGAGTTAAATGCTTTTGTGGCTTTCTAAAAATCTTTTGTAAACATGAATTGGTGAAAATGAGCAAATAAGTGAACTTTATCACATTACTTTTGTTTTCAAATAGAATTTGAGTTGTCATTTAGAAACTGTTAGATTTCAAAGAATTGCTTTTCACCTTGATTATACACATCATCTCTTATCTCTCTAACAATCTTTAGAGTAAAAAGTAAAACTAAACAACACATCTCTTGACATTTACATCTACTGCCCCTGCAAAGTACTACTATAGCTCCAGGGCTTACATTTTTGTTATGAGCAACATAGAGTTATTTCCTAAGAAAATAGAATCTAGTGTTTTCTTTGCTGCTGGAGTTAAGAGTTTGTGGTTCTAGATAAACTAAAGAAACTAGCTTTTAACTTGTCATTATTAAAAAAAAATAACATCATTTTCTTGAATTAATAGATGTGGATCAAGAAGAGACTTGCATCTATATCCCCTTCCATTATTCTCCTTTCCCCCCCCCCCCCCCCCCCCCAAGGCTTAGAGTCATCCTAGGACAAACTTTCCAGCACCAAAAGTTTGCTCTAGTCTTATTGACTGATTTAACTATGAGGAAACTTTAAATTCGTGCTGTAGCTCCATGAACTTAGATTATTTATGCTTATTCATAAGCCATCTTAAGTCTTCCAGTTTGCTGGCATAAAAGATGTCCAAGTCTAAAATTTTCTTTTCAATTCCTCGGTAAGAATTTGTCTCAGCTTCTCTTAATAATAACTAAAGCTTATATGATGTTTGCTTTGAGCCAGGGAGGGCTCTGAGTGTTTACATTTACTTGTGTACCCTCAAAAAACTATAGATAGTAGATGGCAATTAGCTTTCACATAAAAACTAAGAAACTGAGTCCCAAAGGGATCTCAGAGGGAGGATTTCTGTTCAGAGACCCCGAGGCTCCAGAGTTTGAAGGCTGTGAGTTACTGTATACTATATGGTCTCTCAAAGCTACACTCTTTCCTAAAACAAAGAATGTTTCAAAGCAGTATTTTTGAAAATCAATTTTGACATTTTGCCTAGCATAATAAGAAAACTCTGCCTAGAATTTAGCATTTTAAATAAAACAGTAAATTAATATAGTATTTCTTTAAATTGTCTCAGCAATAAAGAAAGAATATTTTAATTATCTTTACTTCCCAACTTCCCCCAACACAAAACACATACAAGTACATTTAAAAAGATAAAACACATGATACTGAAAAAACAGGCACTCAAGTTAGTAATTTCTTTAAAATGAGCTAATAGTGATGTAATTAGTGGTCAAGCTTTCAGATTGCTTTAAGTTTTAAAAGATACATTGAATATAGAAAATTGTTCTTACCTGCTTAGGTGTATATAATAGAAATCTGGACATCAGCGTGCAGTTAAGAAGCGTGCAATTCTGAGAAAGCATAACACATTATTACTAAAAAACAAACCCGTAGTAGAAACACCCAGTGTAATTATTTTAGTTAGCAAGGGAATATACTTACTTTAACTCTATTTGCAGCTGACCTTAAGTCCAGCAGTAATTGTTCTAGTTGCTGCATTTCCTTTGTAGAGTTTGAAGGAGGTGCACTGTGTGTAATGAGTGCAAGAGTTAGTGCAATGCAAGACAAGAATTGTATCTTGTACATTGTTGCAGGAGTTGAGGTTGCTGTGAGTAGTGACGAGAGAGGTTTATAAGAAGCTCTTGAAAAAGAGAGGCAATTTATACTGTTAATTCTGGAAAAAAAATACTATGGGGGTGTCAAGCAAAATGTTTTACATATTACACATACTTTCAAAGACTCTACCTGTGTGGCAAAAATCATTACCTTTATTTTTCCTCTTCTGATGACTCTTTGGAATTTCTATAAACTGACTGAATGGATGTAGGTGAAATCCCTCCTAGTTGCGTTAGCCCACACTTAGGTGGCAGTTCTAATTCATACAACGAACGCCTTCTGTATGAAACAAATTTTCCTTCTCTTTCATTAAGAGGGTGGGGATACTAAAGTGGCTCATGAAAATTTTCTCTTTGTCATAAAACATGCTGAATATGTGGAGCAATGTGTTGTGGTGGACAGGAACAAGACTAAATAGATGAAAAGAATAAACTTTTAGATTTTGTTGATTAAACAGGAAGAATATTGGTTTCCTGTTTTAGGATGGTTTTACCTTTCTATCTGCACGATGACTTAGCTAATGCATACAGCGTGATAAATGACTTCTTAGACAATCAGCTAGAAAAGAAATAATAAAATTAGAATATATAAAATGCTCATTGAATTTGAGGGACTGTTTTCATTTGAATGTGTTTTATCTATCTGCTAAATCCCTTGATGCCTCGTATGCTTTTCTGAAAGAATATAGATAGCATTTAACAAATAAAATAGAACCTATTTCTAAGAATTTGACAGCATACCTTGATATGTACAGTATATAAACAAATCCATAAAGATGTAGTATTTATATTTTCACATTCTAAATAAATCAGGATCTATCCTCTATGGTCCCCGTCACACTATGACATAAAGAGCTGTTGTTGTTTTTGTTGTTGTTGTATACCGTGAAGTCAGGACCAATCAGAGCTGGCCCTCCAGTGCCTTTTCAGAGGCAGTAAATCACATGGGGGTTGATTGTCCGTCTTCTCCCAGCCTCCCATGGAGCAGCTGGCAGAGTGAAAGTGCCTGTCTTTGGGCTGACAGCACCATTCCTTACAGGTAGGCAGCCAGAGTGGCCTTATGTATCTACATAAAGAGTTGTTATTAAGTGCCGTCCAGTCGTAGGCAATTCATAGCGAGCAACTCGTAGCGACCATATGAATGAAAGTCCTCAACACTTGTGTGTCTCTCATCCTCTCTCCAGGTTCATAGGATTTCTGGAGACAAGCTATTACAGAAGTGAATGCCACTCCTGCTTCCAAGCTTGTTTTAATCGGGAGCTCCACCAAACACTGAGGCCGCGTCCAGCTGACACTGAGAATCACAAGACACTTGCCCTCAGCCTGCAGGCGCGGCCAGACATTTCAGTGTTTTACCATTCTGGCATGTCCAAATGCTAGCGAACTCTGGGCCAGAGACCCCCAATTCATCTGGCAAGTCCACTCTGCTGACACCCACTTGGGGCAAAAAGAAAGCCAAAAGTGTCCCAAGGGGCACATACTTGTCTCTCTTCAATACACAAGAGGCTGCATCCAGATAAAATACAGATATAAAATCAGATTAACTTTTTTTCAGTCAGTTAACTAGACAGAATACTTAGAATTTATGTTCACACTTGCCTTGTTGGTGGAATACACTGACTGAAAGATGGCCTATGCATATACTTCCAACTTAACCTGGGGAGAACAGGTTAAGTTCCTCCCTTTTTAAAAATCATATTTACCTTTTGTCTAGCATTCAAATGTATGTTTATTTAGAACCTTCAGAGCTTTCAGGTATATGGAAAGGGAAAAATAAGACATTGTGCCAGCATACAGTCCAGTTTGAGCCATTTAACAAAAGGCGCATTGCCATGGGAAAGTCTGCTGTTAGGGACCTCTCCAAAGTACTGAAGAGCAATGGTGTCTCTCTGGAGTCTAAGGTACATCTGATACAGGCCAAGGTCTTTGCAATAACTTGTTATGCATCAGAGAGTTGGACAATGACCAAGAAGGATAGAAGGAGAATTGATGCCTTTGAGCTGTGGTGCTG